TGAAGAAAATATTGCGGCTGTATCAGCCAGTGTTAGTGATGACCGTGATATGTCGATTCGCCGCCGTTCGCAGCAATTGGGTCTCTGTTACTCCACTAGGTGAAAAATTTTGCGACCGGATTTGGGTCTAAAACCTTATAACATACAGCTGGTGCAAGAATTGAAGCCACACGACCTCCCACAACGTTTCCAATTTGGTGAATGGGCGCTGGCAAAGTTGGAGGAAGATCCACATTTTTATCGAAAAATTGTGTTCAGCGACGGGCCCGTCAATTGGTCGCCTAGATCGTGTGATTTAACGCCGTTGGACTATTTCTTGTGGGGCCATGTTAAGGCTAATGTCTACAGGGATAAACCAGCAACGATTGACGCACTGGAAGCCAATATTGAAGCGTTTATTCGTGAGATACCGGCCGATATGTTGCAGAGAGTGTGCCAAAATTGGACCTTGCGCATGAGCCATCTAAAGCGGAGCCGCGGCCAACATTTACATGAAATAATCTTTAAACATTAAATTATATCGACCGTTCTATCGACTCAGATAAAAGATTTAATCGTTTTTTCCAAATTTTTTGTGTGTTTTTTTTTGAAAATCAAATCCTATACCTCTTAAAAAATCACCCGTTATAAGTATCTCGGATCCACTGCCACAGATGCAATATTTACAACCCCGTGGCCCAGTTTCAAGGGCAGACCGATAAACAGACATACTTCGGAAATGACAAGGTGTTTCCTAATGTATATGTCACATAACATCCAAAAAACCCATCTCATTTTCGAAACTTCTCACAATTACAATGTCTACATCTTCGCCTGAAGTGTCGGAAGGAAAAAATACAGTGAAAATTAATTGAATCTACTTTGCAATCGCCATTTGTCTGGTTTAGAACGGCTAAAAGTCTATAACAACATTCGCGAAGTTATATAATCCAACCATGTATTGAAGCATATCAAAATGCATATTCTGTCTAAAACACATATTCCGCTAAAAATCAGTGGACCAAAACTAAGAAACTGGAAAGCATCATATAAGTCGAATATCGTTACACAACGTCGATTTGATGCTAATTACCAGTAATTTTCTTGCAGAAACAATGCAAGCACACTGTTTTTTATGTTTCTTCTGCTTGCTGTTAGCACAACATTAGAAAAAAATGTTGGTTGTGCCAGTAAGGTATACAGACTGCGAATAGTAGGTCACTCCGCGGGTTAACTAATTTCTAAAGATAAACAAGACGGGAGACATATAGACTGGCCAAGGCGAAGTTCGGTTAAGACAAATTTGAATTCCAAACAGAATTTTCTTTTTATACTTATCTAAATCGTTTCGGTAAATCGCACTTTTCAGGGGTAGAAAGAACCCAGTCTTTAGGCAGCATGGCTACGCGAGTTCGGAAGCTGTTCCAAGAGAATTTGTCTTTTGGCTATGGATACTGATCGTGATTGTGCGTAGGTGGTATAGTATGGAACCGAAACGGAAAACACGTCGTACGTCACTGTTAAGGCGGCGGGATTCGCGCGTACCGCCATGCCGCACTATCAGTAGCGTACGATGTGTTATGGTACTCCATCTACAGGGAAAACCAAATTTATTTCAATTTTGATGCGACTTGGTGTTTTGATTTATCTCAGAATTATTTTTGATTTCCACCGATGGAGATAAAATCAATACATTCTGAGTTATCCTTACATGTTGCAGAATTTTTGGCGATCCTGACCTTATATTTCGATCTAAAATTAAATCGATCCTAAACAGATTCGACACAATTCACAATTTAAAAATGTGTACGCTCAAAATAAAACCATTATTAACTAACGCATATTTTCAATATGCATATTAATTTACAGCACTGGTGTAAAATGTTGGAAACGCGACAGATTGCCGCGTCAGCGCTGCTAGGTAATGTGACGATCAGCTTCGATTTCCAGCCGGTTTCTTTCGGTTTCTAACATATGTGTATATACACATTTATCTTTCGTACACATTGAACTCAAGCCGTCAGACAAATTTGTTTTTCAGTACCCGAGTATAGGCGGTCTCAGACCGTCGCGCGTGGAGGTACCACCCAGCGGATCTTAGAGTCAGTATCAAAAACTGATCGCTGCTATTTACAAAAGACTATCACTGTGATATTTTGCATAAGAACCCAGAAAGCAGAAGTAGAGACGCATATCGAACACTTTTTCGATAATCTACAGTAATGGAATGATATTTATGCGGACTACTGTGACGCGGATCAACCCAGGGTGAGACGCGTGCCCAAGGTATTTCGCTATCATTCCCAAAGATGCAGTATTTGCAACACCGTGGCTCACGAAGTGCGCCCGATGGGCATGCAACCCATCTGCCAAAAATGTTTTTAAAGTTTTAATGCCAAATTTACGGGGAAATCTATGATGTGTGAAATATGTCTAACAGAATTAACGGGACTGGAAGTATATTAATATACAAACATCACAAATTTGCGATACACCCTTCCCCACCCACCTACAACCCGCCATCCAATAAAATTTATTTCAAAAATCATAAACAAACGTCGAAAAACGATACTGGACAGATTTTTAAAAACTACAAAGCTTTTTCGTTCTTGGCATAGTAGCAACCTTGTGGGAAAACTCCATCCAAGTCCTTTTAGTACTATCCAAGTTATAGTCCGGCCAAGGATCGACAGACAGACAAACCGATGGAAATGAGTGAATGATTCCTATTTTTCCGTTTTCTGCCCCTTATCTCCGCCGACACTGGACCGATTTCCAAAAACTAAAAAGATTTTTTGTCCTTGGCATAGTAGCAACCGTGTGTGAAAATTTCACTCAGATTCGACCGGTACTTTTAAAGTTATAGATGAGCTAAGGATTAGCGGTCAGACCGTCAGACAAATAGACCGACGGAAATGAGAAAAATTAGTTCCCTTGATGTGTCATATAACATTAAAAAACATAAAAAGATTTGACGATAACTTTGTAATCTGCCAGCTTAAATCGACATATGGGCACCATATCGCCACTTATCGGCAAATTAGGGAGATACTGCCGATATGCTGATATACGTATCGTTACCGGTCGATCCCTATTGGGAATGTAATTTTTTAAATCACTGATTCATTTCTTTAAATTCCTTGATTTCTCTTAATATAATCCAGCAAAAATGTCATATAAGTTGTTGAACGTTCATTCGTAAGTACGCAACCACTTCTCCATGACAGTCCATTGGTCAAAAAGTCTGTTTTTTGATAAAATTTACGACGTTAACCAGTTCGACCATGACTGTCTCCGACGAGTGATCTTATTTGTAGAAGTCTGTATACTTATTTTGGATGTGTGTTGTCTCTCATTCAAGTTCATTTTTTCCACTCTGATAATTGAAACGTTTCGTAATTAGATTTATTTATGAGGGTAATTTGAAATACGTCTGATATAGAAAGCCGCATTTTCTTCTTTGTGATAGCGTCTTGATACGTGAATGTAGACATTTTGGCAAACAGAACAACAAGTAGATTGACTCTATACTTCCCGTGCCTTAAAAACAACTTCTAGTAAAATTTTCCATGTAGTGCAATAACATCAAAAAGGCGAAGGTTTTGTCACAACCAATAGTGCACTATTGGGCTTTTCATGAAAACAAAAATTCCTCAGATTGCAGTAACGAGCGTGTCTATATATGGTGGCCTCACTTCTTTGGAGTTCTTGTGTTAAACTGGTTGTCAACAATGTTTGCTAACTGATTTTAAGCTCTTGATACGTACTCATGTAATATACTAAGTAATATTACCTCGCGAAATAAAGTAACCTCATTAAATTACACTCCAAGCTCGTATATATTCAGGGTGTTCATTTGAAATTTTCCCACCACGGATCTACCGAAAACCACTGATTAACAAAATCAACGCCGAGACAAGTCACAAGATTTGTCAAGGGGGACATTTTTTAACCAAAGACTACTCACCCCCTTTCACCCTCTGCCCCCCACGCTCATCTCCTTAAAAATTTAAAATATAAATGATAGGGGGTATCGAGTAATAGCTTATTTGGAAGTAAATTAGAAAAATCTTAATTTATCGTAATTTGTTCAGATAGAAAACACAAACAGACGAAAATATCAGTTTTTATTTCAGTCAGTATTCATAATGTTGCCTGTTATTGGCCAAACAATGATATAGGCGATGTTCAAATTCCGTTCTCGAAGTGTTTCGAAAAAGATGGTCGCGAAATTTGCGTCAAAAGCGGGTCATATTGCAACAATTCCTCTTAATGAGCAAAGAACTGTTACTGCGGATTGGTATACCACCATTTGTTTGCCAAAAGTCATCAACGAGCTCCGAAAAATCAACCCCGAAAGAAAAATCATCCTCCACCAAGACAATGCAAGCTCGCACACAGCCCAAAAAACAAGGCTGTATTTAACGGAAGAAAACGTGGAATTATTGGACCATCCTCCATATAGTCCCGATCTAAGTCCTAACGATTTCTTTAATTTCCCGAAAATTAAAAACAGACTGCGTGGTCAAACGTTCCAGTCACCAGAAGAAGCAGTTGACGCATTCAAAAATGCCGTTTTGGATCTGCCAGCAAACGAGTGGAATAAGTGCTTCGAAAATTGGTTCGAGCGCATGCAGATGTGTATTAATCTTCGTGGAGAATACTTCGAAAAACAATAAAGTCATTTAAAACTACCTGCCGTGTTGTTTTATTTCCACATGCAAAACTTAAAAGACATCCCTCGTAGTAGGCGGGGAAGTAGGAATTGAGGGGAAAGGAATTGTCACATTTATGGCGCATCGCGTAGCGTAAATGAAAAACGAGGCAATAGGAAATGTCAAAGTTGTACATCGAATTCCATCTATACAAGTTTTTCCCTTTATGCAGATTTTGAATATCCTTTCTATCTATATTTAAAAGAAAGGGAAATAGGAGTATATAGGTGTATAATATGATCGCAAAAAACTTTGATTTCAGGTATTTTTTTAAGATTTCGACATGTATCCTATTTTATATTACAGTTACCCTTGAATATTTGGACACTCAGCGAAGCTGAACGTAAAGCAAGAATAGATGAAAGAAAACCAAAGAAGAAAGTTAAAATTGAAGATGATATAGAAGACACCTATGATTCGAAAAAATATTTGAAATATTTGAAGAAGAAATGAGATGTTTTATTATAAATGTTTATAGCTAAAAATAATATAGTCATTTTTATTGTTTTATGTGCGAATATTTTTTCTAAACAAAGACGGGTGAAAGTGTTGACATTTTAAATGATTTTTTTGAATAGAATCAATTGCTACTAAGAGAATTTATAATTTTTGGCTATTATGTCAGATTTGAGGGGTAAAGGGGAGAAAGATGAATGTCACATAAAGTAAGTTTTGAGAAGTGAATTTAAAAGTTTGAAGACTCCTAGACTCGTTGTACAGGGTGGGTCAAAGATCTGGCGGAGCACCATAGATTCGTCATTACAAGAAATTGAAAAAAAGTTTAATTATAAATAAAAAAATATTTTTATTCTAAAAACATAAGTTTGATAAAATAAATTAATCAGAACATTGTTTATATCTAAATGAACGCCATTTTCATTTACGGTCAAGAATATAATCCCACTGACTACACAATAATCCTTTTTTTCTGGGATTCTCTCTATCCTGGATAAATAAAAAAAAGGTTACTTTTTGTATCATTCTCGGTCAAGAGTACAAATAAATTAAATTACAATTTTCTTTCATCTGTCTTCAATGAAGCAATGGAGAGGTCTTGAGCGGAAAACAGGGAGAGGCGCGTTGGTAATCTTCGTGTTATGCGTAATCTAATCAAATTCCCAAAAGCAAGAAGGCGTAACATGTGGATTCCCCATAACACTGCTGATTAGCATAACGTCGATCTTAAAATCCTCGCCCACTTTCATTCATTACATTTGAATAAAATATGCCTCGAAACAATGGCAAATAACAAAAAGAAAGTGCTCAGAACAGCATATGTGTGAAAATAACCCCGCTGTTGTCCGCTCCACCGATTTTTTCACTGCATTCCATCAGAATTTTCACTTTCCAGCCTTTGCGTCGAGTTTACGTAAGCTGCTTTTCGGTGTAAATTTGAATAGGATTTCAGAAATTCATGATATTTATAAATACATTCGAATTTCCCGCGCTATGTGAGGAATGTCTAAAAATTCTGGCAGACATTTTCTGGATTCTAGTAAGAGCCGCGTGCATTTGGTTGTCTATCTTTGTTGTACACGTTGCATGAATCGTTGTATTGGGATGAAACGCTGCCAGATTGAGTAATTTTTCGGACATTTAGTGATTAAGTTAGTGATCTATGTATAATCAAAAATATATATATTTCTAATCTACCCGAACCGGTATGGCGGAATCGATATCACTGTGGATAAAAAAATACTGTAAGAAGTCCAAATTACCAAAGACTTCACTTGGCTGTCAATTGTGACAGCTGCTGGGAAAAAGTTGTTATTGGCTTAGGGCTAAAAAATGCTTTTCTCCTTATAACCTCAGCTTGCTATACAAGCTCAGATGGGACCCAGCCTCAAGTGCTGGTCACATGTTTTAGGTGCTGCCGCTCCCACTACATTGCCCAAACTCAGTGAATGCTGTTCAGAGGAGGGCTGTCTGATTAATCGAGGACACTTCTCTTACAGACAGTCTCGGGTCGTTTTCGCACTAAAGGACGGTCTGGTTTTCTTCTGCCGCTTTTCTCTTCAGAGCTCTCCCCCATGATTCCGCCGCACTTCAAGTGCCCCCGCAGACTGCAGACTTTCTATCGGACTATAGTTTGGTCGGCTTCTTAATCAGTATGGAGGGGTATGCATATGTGCACATTACAGCGATTCAGTATCGGCCGGTAAATAAATAATAGTTTGAAAAACAAGCTTCTATAGCTAACCCAACTAAAAAGTAGAAAATATTTTTTATTACAAACAGTTTATCTTACAGTAGTAGATGGTCGTACAATCGATCATAATCAATGACCACAAACTAAAATTTTAGTTATTCACAGAACAATTCAATTTTCCTTCTAGCTATAGTATAAACCTTACAGCTTAGACCTCCAATTGTCATCTCTGAAGCACATCAGAGCCAAACATTGATAACTGAAGCGTCATGAAATTTTTTACCTATAAAATCTTTAAAAAATTATCACGGTCGAAACGTCAAAAAACGAAGTTTGAACGGTTTTAATTTTTTCGTTTTAGGTTTTTTCTTCGCCGCCACTTGCCCGATTTTCAAAAAATTTGGCGTGAGAATTTCATCAAAATCCAAGCGATACTTCTCAAGTTGTAGGCGGTTTTATAGGATTGTGGTGGGTATTAGGGGTGCATGGTTAACACTACTTCGAGAATTGACAATTAATTGTAAATTAGTGAGCGGGGGAGAGGGGTGCTTGCCCACCAAGCCTGTTGGTAACAACTGAAGAGACATGTGTGGACGTATTTTTGTTGGATTCATTAAAGACATTTTAACCTCTGAGAGTATTGTACATTTAGTTGTTATCATATATCATTCAGTACTTGAAATTATCTTAGAAAAACGATAATTATCGTACACCTGGCAACGCTGAGGCGGTGCAAACCAATTGTTTTTTGGAAATACCGAGTAGAAATTTAAAAAAATCAGATATTAGTATTTTTGAACATAAACCTGGCAATGCCGCACATATAACTGTGACATACGTCGTAGCTTGTTCCATGCACTTTTGATGGCAGACCATTTGATTTGGCAGCTGACTTTGCGCTGCTCAAGCGGATTGAAGCGCAGCTAAACTAAAGAGAGAAAGCCGAGTTTACGCTCACACAAGACGATTCACCGAGTTTTATTTACATTTCATCTTCTCGCCGCGAATTATGTAAAGAGCGCCCCCTAATAGTGCTCGCGAGTGCATAGTCTGTAGTGCATACGAAAAATGTTGTAGTGCTCAGCGTCATGTGAGACGTCAAGTGAATGATGTACCCCAGAAATGAGGCGCAGGCCTGCATCTATGACATACCCTGCGACCCTAAGGACAGCGATTACCAGAAACTGTTTTGCCCCAATAACGAGTTGTCGGAGCCACCGAAATCGCGCTGTGATAGACTGAAAACTGGCAGTTCCTGTCAAGCTATTAAACATGCTGTGGCCGGGTTGCATAGGCTGGACGATTTTCATAAAGAGAAAATCGGCGAGGGGTTTTTCTCTGATGTCTATAAGGTAAGGAAAACTACAACAACTAAGCACCTAGGCCCCATACTTCAATAGAAACTAGGTACTATAGTAACTCCTGAAACTTATCTTGAGGTTTTCACGTTCATAGGACAAGCCGAATTAAACCACATAAATGCTTTAATTTCTGTTTATTGTGCAACGTTTCGGCCACCAGTGACCTTTTTCAAGTACAATCACAATTAATGACTCTATTTTTGTTTATCTGAGCTGCTTTCCAGTGGTGTTTGGGGTGATATGCGCCCAAAGTCTGTATGGTAATACATAGTGCAGTTGAATCATATTGGTGATGAGCACTATTGAGTTACTCCCAGTAACTCAGTAGGGTCACTGGACAACAGCCCATATAAACAAATATTTAATTGTCATTGTACTTGGCCACCATATAATCAGAAAATAAAATGTTTGATTTGGCCAGATAATGGAGTCCTAAGTACTAAAGGTTTGTGAAGAATAAGATTACTCCACAATCCTTCTTATTCTGTTACAATGATTGAGGCTCAAATTTTTCTAACAGCTGTGATATTCTTTGAAGTGTGAGGTCCTATCTACCACAAAATGTTCATCTTAATAGTGTAAATACAGCAGATTATACTTAAATTTATGAAAGGTTGCCTTGGGGTGAGATGGAAATGTGCGTGTTTTGGTTTTCCAGATTTACGACAGTTTTCAGCAGTTTTGCATACTTTGTAGTTCAGCCACTTATGAGACTAATATACTCTGATTGAAAAAACTCTAAGAGTAAAAAAAAACTGGTGTGGTTTACCTGAACAAATTTATCAGTACTATCAACAGAAAACGAATTTTGATCCAGGACTGGGATGGGAGAAAAACGACCAATTAATGCTATAGGGTATCCAAGATAAGGATCCTATGCATGGGATCTCAATACCTGTGGTAGATACAGCTTAGGTTAGATTATGAAAAGGCTGCATTCTTTGAGGCAAATTTACGTGCTATTGAGAATCTTGAAAATTTCATGGCTTACTGAGGTATTTGGGAAAAACTAAAATTAGGCCAAATTGTTTTATTTTTTTCTGACTTTATTGTAAGAAATATCAGAAAACTAATGCAAGTTTTTCATTGGCACCTTTTAGGCACTACATGAAGGTGTTTTTAAATTTTTTGCTTGACGTTTCATTTTTGAGAAACCATCATCAACTTTATTTTTTATATTTTCTATGAATGAATTTATCACATGTCACATTGATTTTCTAGTTATAAAGAATAATGTTTTTTATTTTATTTAAGTCGGCATTGCAAACAAATGCTTTATGTGAGATTATGATATGATGGGGTAAAAATTTATAAAATGATGCTTAATAGTGATATTCAGAATAACAAATACTTTATATTATTTCTATTTTATTCGCCATAGGTGTTCAAATAGGTACAACCATTATTTTCTACACATAAATATGTTCTTATAACAGAATTCAAAACATAATGTAACATTTCTGGTGTAATCATACTAAATTCTTCCATTATACAATCTCATAACTACTGCTCAGTTTTAAAAGTACGCTGATAAACTTGGTTTTTAATAAAATCCCAAAAAAAAGTCCAGAGGAGTTAAATCCGGGGGAATGCACTGGCCAGGACTACTTCACTGGAGGTTCCAATCCACCTTCCAGGAAATTGCTGAAAAGGTACTCTCGTACATGCCTAGAGTTATGTGCAGAAGTGCCATCTTGAAACCAATAATCTCCATGCCAAAGGTTAATTATCCAGGCAGTCTTCTAGATCTAGATCATGTTACAACAATGCAATTTATGAGTTGTAGTAAATAAATGGACCTAATATTTTGGTCACTAGAACTCCACAACACATATTAAACCCAAAACGTTATTTATTATCTTGGAAGGGAAATTAAAATCTTCACCACTACTCACAAAAATGCTGTCACCATTTGGTATTCCCTGATATCTAAGTCGTTGGCAAATCCTGTATTTTTAGAGGTGAATATCTATTTCTACACAAAATAAATTGGACTGTAGATTTGATGACATCCACATTTTTGATGATATCTCAGAGTTCTCAGCAACTGCTTGTAAAACACTACTCTGAGTTCCCTCTGAAGGTACCCAATTGAAATACATATGTAGGCATTAGGGAGAGGCCAAAAAGTGTAGTCTATGTAATGGTAGAAGAACCAAACACTAACTCTTTTCAAAGTGGATTTTCAAATTCATGTTTTTTGTGTGCATGTGTATACAGTATATGGTTG